GTCAACTGGTGCTGATTTGTGTTAACTCACCAGTTTTACTATTTTGTTAGGTTATTTTGTGATGTGACATTATGAAATGAAAAAAAAATGTAATTTACAGACAGTTAAAGGCATGTAATGGAAAACTATGTGAACAAAGGTCAGGCAAGAGACCTCTTGAATCGCTTCATACGTGCAAGGGAACCTGTATTAAGCTGATTAAGCGATTGCACATGGAAGGGCTGAAGTGCTGGTGGCCTTGCATCTTCTTCCTCTTGCTGATTGGAAATGTAGCAGGAACAGCAGTGTGCAGCAGTAAAAGCCAGTTAATAACTTTATGAGGATCCTTAGTGCTTTGTCCATATCATTAATGCTCTTCACAGTCAGAAGTGGCTTAAAGCAATAACCTGCCTGCCTACACCTGTGCCTAACATTCAGTGGAAACTGTATTGCACAGGAGTGTGGTGTTTTCACCGTCACATTAATTCACTGAGAGTTTAGCAGAGTTGGGTTTGCCTCTGTGTGAGCAGTAAAAACACACTTTAGTCAGTTTTAGCTTGTGCAATGTTGTACTCTTGGTTGGTCAGTCGGTCCACCACATCCAGATTAAAATATTTATAACTACTATTGGATAGTTTGTTATAAATTTCTTTACATAGAGTAATGGCCACAGAGGAGGAATTCTATTGACTTTTGTGATCCCCTAATTTTTGGTGCCACCAACCGGTTGACATCAGCTATTAGATATACTTTGATTTATGTCTAGCAGGCTTGAGTTTTGCACTAATCACATTCAACCTCAGCTGGAGCTACTTTGTGTTTCGTGCTAATTAGCTAATGTGTGTGTTGTTAACAATAGAAACGACCTGTTGATCCCCTGACTTTTCTGCTAGCACCATTTTCAGCACCATTTATGGTTGACAGTGATCTTATGTTTCAACTGCTATTGGATGTCCCCCTCAGGATGAACTCTAGCAATACAAACTACTACTTCTCCAAATACCTGCAAAACTAATAACACTTCAATTAGCTGCAGCTATACTTAGTCTTTAGCACTAATTAGCTAATGTCAACATGCTAGTAACAGTAAGCTAAGATGGTGAACATGGTAAACATCATACCTGATAAATATCAGCATGTTAGCATTGTCATTTTGAACGTGTTAGTATGCGGAAGTTAGCATTTTGCTGAAAGCACTGCTGTGTAAAGTACAGGCTCACAGAGCTGCTAACATGGCTGTAGACTCTTATTAAACAGTTAATAAAGAAATAACCAGACATTTCACAATTTGAGATATTTTCCTGCTCCATGGTGAACAAGTGCTTCTCTACTCACAAGAAAAGACGGTTGTTAAAAACACTGGTTGATGGTTATTGAAAGCAACATACATGTTCAGCTGCCGTTGGGAGCTCAGTTCCACTCCCACAGGAAAGGAATACATTTAATTATTCCCTTCTCAGCTAAATGAGACAAAGCATTCCCGCTGCAATCCACTTGGCTCTCTACATTGTGCTCCCTCTTTCTTCCAAACCTCCCGTCTGGCCTTTACTCTGTCTCATGCTCTGTCAACATCATCTGCTGACGTGGAGCACACAGGCTCAAAAGCGGACCTTTTTACTTTCCTGCAGGTGGCTGATGTGACTGAGGCAAGAGGCAGCAACAATCCCTCTTCACTAGCCTCCCTCCACCACCAGCAACTTGTTTCCTGTACAACACGAACTCCCTCTCTTTGCCAAGACCACATTTTTGTGAACCCTTTTCCACGTAACAAGGTATTTCAGCATCACCCTCCTATTTAACATTAATAAGCAGTGTATAAACAATTAATTAGTGGTTTTATAACACACCATAACACAATATAATGTTTCTGTAAGCAAATAAATTTTAAATACTTGACAATGCACTTTAATGCTCCTCAAAAACTCAGATAATTCTGCACTTTGAAAACTAAAAATGTTTTTATGCGCCTTTTGTTGTTTTTAATATTTATAATGAGACACTCCTCTATTTAGTATTTATAAGCAGAATATAAACACTTAAATAATAGTAAATAATAGTAATAGTATAAATGTAGTTGAAAGCTGACATTTAGACAAATGCATTAAGGGAATATTTATGAAAAACAATTCATTCAAAATACATGTTGCATACTAATTGCTATAATTTGTAGTTGTGCCTATTCTGATTTGTATTTCTGATTTTATAGCAACTGGAGATAACAAGGAGAAATGTTGTGTAAAATCTTACTGTTTTGTGAGTTTGGAAGTAGGCCTGTTTCTGCTTGCAAAGTTTTGAGGTGCATTAATTCTTTTCCTGTGGTAAAAAGTAAATAAGTACATTGACTCATGTACTGTACTTCAGTTACATTTTGAGATTGAGTTAAGTTGTACTTTACTTAAGTTAACTTAATTATTCCACTCAGCTGTAGTACATATTTTTAAGATTAAGATTTTACATACAAAAGAAATGAGTAGTTTAAAAAATATGATGCACTAGTATATATTTAACTACCTTAAGTATCTAAAGCAGGTAAAATTAGCTCCCCTTCATCCAATTACAACATTAAAGTATTACTTATATATTTATGCATCAGTAATAACAATCCAATGATATAATACAGTACTGACAGTCAACACGGACCGTATCTGCATTATGAGTACTTTTACATTTTGATACTTTAAGTACATTTTGTTGCCAATACTTCTCCACTTTAATTTGAGTAATATTTAGAGTAGTGGTATTTTTTCTTAAATAAAAGGTAAATACGTCTTTTCCAGTTTTAATCACATAAAGTTCTTTCAAAACCAGAAACACAAGAGCATTAAATGACAGTCAAAGACCATGATTGTCTGCAAAACTCAAATTTATTTAAATATAACTAAAACATAAAACGTGTTTTTTGGTTAATCTAAGCACTTTAAAGCAGTCCTGCCAGTTTGAAGAGGGAAAAAAGAATCACAGCTCTTCGGTCCACAGCCAGGCAAATTAAATGAGCAGTTTTTTTAATTTCTGAGCTCCTTGCTGTGTGGGAACTTTCAGCAATGGCTCAGCATGTCAAACCATGTCAAGTGTTACAGTTCCCTTCCTGTTTCGGGGAAAAAAATATCACCCCAGAGATGAATTAAACTTAAAAGGCTTGTCTTCAGACCCCTTCCTAAAATGATTAACCCTTCTAGAGAGCATTATTGAGCTCTGAGAGGTTGTGCTTTCTCATTGCCTGTAATTGTTCTTTTTCTGTTGTTGCCTTCATCAGTCTCTCTCCCCATTATATGAAAAGAAGGGAAAAATGTCTGAATAGAGGAGGGAGATTTTCCCACAGTCACTCAACTCAGAAAAATACGCCATTGTCGCCAGGTTCCCATCCCAATGCCCTGCTGCACAGTCTGCCGTGGTCTGAGGGACAATGTTCTTATAATTGAGTGACCATTCTTCACCCTGCTTGAAAAGTAAGTGATGGAGAATACAGTTAAATGTGGCTAGAAATCTCACATTTGAGTCAGTCCAGTCTGCAGGTAGCCATGTCCAATTGTTTCAGGACAGCAGATATAATTCAGAGTGAAATTCCTGAGCAACAATACAACATGTAGGCTACAAGTTATTAAAGCTGTATTATAGGCATATTATGCAGTAAATGTACATATGCAATACATGCATAAATATGCTCATTTTAGTGAATACAGCCAGAAGTTAATTTTCTTCTTTGCTTCATTCATCTTGTATTTCACCAATTACTGAAAGTCTTAAGTGTGTATTGATCTATATGAGCCACATTTATTATTGTGAGGAATTTGTGCAGTGGCGACACTGAGCCCTTTTAACTCATAATGAGAACAAATTGACGTTTTATTCTGCTGAATCCTCTCCTGATATTATCAACATTACCTGTAACATCTGCACCTATAAGGCAAAGCAAAGCAAATGTATTTTTGTAGCTCAGTTCATTCACGGAGCAGTTTCAAAGTGCTTTACATACATTTAAAAGAGTGAATAATAATATGAACATATAAACAAATTCAAAGGCAATACAGATAAAAGAATGAAAATTAAGACAAAAAAACTAAGGAAAAATAAAAAATAAATAAAATAGATGTGATAAACATGACATGAGAAGGCAATAATAAGGTTTTAAGGTTAAAGGTGGTGAGAGATATGGCACACCTTTGATCCGCTGGTAATTTGTTCCACAGGTGTGGTACTAGTTACTCTGGAGATCAAGCTTTTAGACACAAAACATATGATTAGTTTATGAAAATATGCTTTTTTTAAAAATTTAAACTGCCAAATGGTATATAAAGTTGTTTTTACCAACTTGACCACCTGCAACTATGCAATGCTGCTTATATATCAATGCTTAATTAATAGTGTCCAACTTGTTGCTGTGACGACAGTCGTCACAGCAACAAGGAACACTAACGAACCAGCGGTATCGATGACCCGGGCCAACGACCCCACTGAGGTGAAATAGCTGAGTTTCCCTGCCAGTCAGTCAGAACTGAAGAAGTCCTTTGGATGAGGGACGAAACGTCTTCCAGTATCTTCAACCAAGTCCAGTTGCCCTTGATTTTAACCTTCGTTGGATAACTATGACCTGGATGACTGAGAATCTTCATAGACATCTTAATTAGTAGTGATAATCCAATAATATAATATGGCACACATACATTTTTTTAGGCCTATATATTTCTGTAATTTTTTACTTTTTACATGTTTTCATAACAGGACTCCTACTTAATCTTTATCTTGAAGGACATTTCGTTTTCAGGCACATATTGAAAAAGCAATCTAAATACTAAAAATAGTTATTCCTATAAACAATTTTTAGCAAATAGAGCTAAATATAGAAACACAGAAATAAATATTCAAAGGTTTAGACCCATGCCACATAGAGCCAAAAATGTTATTTTCTGTGTAGCCTACTATAAGAATCTATACTATATTATCTGCTCTGAGCAACTACCCTCACATTATAGTCAGTGCACGCATGCGTGTGTGCGCGCGCATGTGTCTCACTCTAACCAATCAGCGGCCAGTATTGTGCTGGCGTTGAACTGCAATGGCGGAGACAATGAAGTTGAGTGGAAGTCATGCTCCTCGTAATGAATCCAGGGAAATGTCCAGCTACAGTGACTGTATGTGTGTGATACTGAAGTTGCTTGCAGACTTCGGGAAAGAGGTTGGTTGACAATTGTTTGAGCCATGTACCCCGGACCGACGTTTCTTTAGTCCGTGTTGTTAGCTAGCTACATGCTAATGTTTTTAGCGCCCTGATGGAACCTGAGATGCGTCTCACTTCAGTCATTATTAAAGGTAACGTTACTCAGGCGGTGTTTTTGATAATCGAGTTATAACAAAGTAATCGTGCTAGGGTTTCTGCTAAATTATTTTAACCATCTCATAGTCATTTACATGTTTATACATGGCTGCTTCGTTCGTCTCATCAAATAAAAGAAAATGTCATCATTTATTGTCATTACTACTAACTTTTACCCCGTACACAGCTCCTTAGTTCTTCCTTGCAACCTGTATTTAACATGTGAACTAAATGATAAGTAATGTTCACATAGTATTGGTTGCATTCTTCCGTACTTATGTGATGCTTCCTACCATTTGTCTTGGAAAGCAAGAATAAGTTCAACATTTATGAAAAACATCATGTTTACATAGCATTTCTATATGTATAAATCTCCTTGCACCTATTTTACTTTCATCATGTACATGAGCTATATCTTTAGTATTCGTATCATTATCACAGTGGCTTTGCACCACTGTTTTACAAAGGGCTTAGAGTAAAGATACTTTTTTGTTTAGAAAATGGTCCATCACAAGTCCTGAGATCCCAAGATGAAGTTTTCAGATTGGCATTTTTTCCCCCTGAAAAGTGACTAATTCAGTAATCCTAATAGATTAGGGTAAGTAATTTAACGTGACTTGACGTGTGTGTGTGCATTATCCTCAGACCATGCTTATCTATGTTAAACCATAGACTGTATATGTGTTAAACACTGAATCTGCACCCTAATGTCCAGGGCAGTGTGACTTCACTGTGTTTGTTTTTTTTAAATGAAGCTCAAATTAAATGATGCCGCTCTGAAAATAGAAGTCAACATTGACGCCGTGGATCTTCCATCATCTCCAGATGCACATGTGTACAACTCTTTGCAGGGGCATATCACTAAATTACAGGTGAACGGGCTATATACTGCAAGATTTCTAATTGCTATTTCTGTATTTTTACATTGGTTATATTACATGATTTTATTGTATTGCTGCTAAAAGAGTTTGCTGAAATAAGTTTGAATTGATGACCAATGCATGATTAATTGAGATAGCACAAAGCTTTCAAATAATATTTCATAACATTTTTCCTTGTTAGAAAGGATCATTAATAAAAAAAATGTTCTTTAATGAAATTTTCTTTCTGCTGCAACTGTATATAGGCTGTTTCAGAAAACCTAAAGACATTGGTGGATGGTTATACAACATCTACAAAAGACAACACATCAGATGATGCTGTTGCCTCATCGTCACTCAAAGAGCAGATGGTCACACCGTCTCAGCACCATCCTCCCAGCTCAGAGGCCGCAGGAAGCAATTCAGTGGTTGATGACGTCATGGTTCAGATCAGAGCCAGGAAGTCAGAGGTGGGTCTCAGTCAGCAGATCTGTCAGCTGTTCTTCGCAGTGACATTTTTAGAGCCCTCTTTACTCTCTCCAGCAAACAAATGAATAATCATAAGTAATTGCTCCCAATGATGTGCACATGACGTGCCGCAATGAAGCAAATGTTTGATGGAGATCTGATAAGCCGAGTTCAGCAGAGAATGAGGGGTTCTGTAGTGCTGTGGTCGGGTAGAACAGACCACATTGCTGGAGGGTTTTGAGAGAGGGCCAGGCCCTTGATGGATTATGAAGTGGATGCTCATTACTCTGAGATTGCATGTGGATGAAGGACAAGAGGCCCCATTCTGTTGTGCATTTATTTTGGTAGCCAAGCACACAATATTCATATTCCATCATGTGATGATGGCAAGCAATACCAGTTTTTTTGGCTACCTGGAATAATTTCCTACTACATTCCTCATTCCATGTTATGTAAAATACTGCACCCTGTTTTCCTCAGATCATTAAACTTTCGTAGGCAAAAGACCTCATTGCATTCTTAACATGTGTCAATAGTTTATCAATCCATCGTTTGTCATTATCTGTGTTGTCTCTCCTTTGCAACTGTAGATTGAGCGAAGAATATCTGCATTTATGGAACGAAAGCAGATGGAGATCAATGAAAACAATGTGCGCGAGTTTTGCAACGTGATCGACTGCAATCAGGGTGAGAATGGGAAAGAGGTTGGGGGCAGGGTGGAGAGGGAGCCTGCACACAGATTGCCAATGTTTGGGAGAGAGCTGATTTCCACAGGCGAGAGGTCAGGCTGAACTGCTCCAAAAGTGGGGCTGAAGTAGCTAACACATTCGGCTTCAAAACACAACCAGCTTAGTCCAGAAAAACACGAGACAGAGGGCCTCTTTTTTAAATTCAAAGCCTGTGTGAGACACCAGTTATAGAAATCAGGACACACTGATCTAATAGTTATAATTTAAGTAAAATATGCTGTATAAGTACTTTATTTCCTGATCACTTTTGCATTTCATTCTAAATACATTTTTAAATAAAAAAATTCTCCTTTGTAGAAAACAGCTGTGCCAGAACAGATGCAGTTTTCACTCCTTATCCAGGTTTTAAAAGCCACGTGAAAGGTAAGAAATTAAATATTTGCCACTACTATCAATGTGACATTTCTTAACACCTTTATTTCACAAACTGTAACCATCAATTTTTAAATTACACACATCATTTTGAAAAAGTCACAGGTCCAAAATCTGTAGAATTAATTAATACAATTAAGTTCAAGTTTCACTCAACAGTACATTATATGTATTATGACAAAAATATGTTTGGTTCAACTTGTGCAAGTGCTAAATAGTTTAAAGCACAGACAGATTTACTGTATCACTGTAAATGAATCTAAACTACCTAACAAATGTCAAGGGTTTTGTAGGACCCCTGCATGCCTCTGCATGCTCTGTACATGATGGTAAGACTCTGTTAAACCATACTGTCAACTAGTCTCTGGTTAATATTGGGTTACATCTTCTGTTTATGTGTTATGTTGCTTGACTGGCTAGTTACGCGGGTGGTTAACACTTACGGACCTCAGACTCGCGGCGGGGGAGGCCAAGGAGAGACTGGGGAGCAGCAGAGGGGGCCAATGGCAAGAGACTGCGGAAATGCAGCGATAGAAGAACGACTCCACAACATTGAGACTCACCTGAAACTTCCAACAGGTGAGAGGACACAAATGTTTTACTAATACTAAAATCAGTGTGCCTCACAGGATGTAATGTTTTACAGGCCACATGTCATCAGAGATGTTTTTTTAAAAATCTGCTCAAAAATTCAACTTAAATGCAACTCGATTATTCGTCAACAAAACTGGAATATTTGCCCCTTTTCAGAAAAAGTCCCATGTTTTAAATACAGCAATTTACCATTACAATGTAAAGGAAATGTAACACACTGACTATGAAGGCATTGCAATCATTGTCCGTGTATATAAAAAAGCCAGTTTATTTGTTTTTACCTGATATAATCAGTGTGACATTGTCAATGTTTAACTAAGCTACTTTTGTATGACCCTGCTTCTCTTTAACACTTATACACATGCCTCACTCACAGTCTCCACCCTACATTTGTTTAATTTGTCACGTAAAACCATCACTATTCAGACTGTTCAACAGGTGTTTTATTCCTTAGCAGGCCCAGTTCCACTGAGTGTCTACCAGAGACTAAAGAAACTGGAGGATCGTATCCTGGAGTTAGAGGGACTCTCACCCGAGTACTTTCTGTCCACGGTAAGTCTTGTGGCTTTAGAATAGATGCATGAAAGGTACTTAATAATTATTATCCTGTGTTCAGTCAGGGTTCATACAGAGGTCTTACAGTAATGGATGTCATTTCCACATTTGTTGGTATGTGTATTACAAAGGGTGAGACTCTACAGTGTGTTTAATAGTTTAATTTCAGTGGTCTATAAGAATTGGTCAGATAAAACTGCTTCATAGTGCAGTGACCAAATAGTTAATAGTATTAACTCCATTTGGTGTGACTTGAATGTTATACGGCAGTACAGGTAACATTGCTGTTTACTTCAGTGTTTAGCTTTACGCTCTGGACTGTGGAGTGTTTGCGGTGCACGAGCTCTGGCACCCAAGCTCTGGCGCCAATCAGTCACTTGTAAGGAAAGAAAACCAAACATCTCTGACGTGCTACTAACAAGCTAATGTTAGCTCGTCAATTCAGAATGGGCAAGTGTCTGAAGTTCATCAGGCCAAAGATACGGACAAGTTGGCAGACAAGGTTGAGGGCAGTGGCGCTGAAGTTAGCACAACAAGCATGGATCGGCGTGCGAGTCAGTCACAGTATGGTGAGCTCTAATTAAACAGTGGAGCTGGAACACACGCCTGAAGGTTTCAGGTCAGTCAACATTACAACATCAATGGAGCAACGGCATGTTGCCTGTGTTTGGCTTCACCGCTGTGGCTGGTTGTTTGTCCCGACTCGTTTTGTTTGTTTCCTGCACTATATTGCTACTAAGTTTGTCAACAAATGTTGTGTCTACTGCATGGGTGTACGATCGCCAAACAATGCTGTTGATCGGATCCTCCATGGTGGAATGCGGTGACGGATGTACCTGGAGTGGTACAGGTGAGTTTGCAGCCCCGTTCATACGTCCGACTGCAACTGCTATCTGTATGTGGCATGGAGAGGGCCTAATACGACCTACAAGTAGACAGCAGAGAAAGCAATTAAAAAGGCCAGGGAGGTTCATCTGAAAAAACTCTTGAAGCTGGGGGCCTTTGACTGCGACTCCAGACCTTCATGTCTTCGTTCTGTCTTCCCTGACATCCCCAGGGCTCTGGTCCTGGTGCCCTGGAGAAACCCTACCACTGGTCGCAGTGTGTGTTCTGTGCATCTCAGGTCGCTGCCGCAAGCCTCTTTCTCTGCTTCAGGTGTTCCTGCACTCCTTCTGTCCCATTACCCTGAATGACATCATTAAGTTAGTGGGCATGATGAAACCTTCCCAAAGCCCTGTACAAATTTTAACTACATCTTTGCTTTTAAAATCCATACACTTACTTAGCCCATGTTTGGTTTTAATTTTAAACTTATCTCTTCAGCTGGGCAGGGTCCCTAGCTGTTTTAGGCATGCTGTTGTTCAGCCTATCTTGAAAAAGAACAATCTTGATGCAGCTTCATTTAGAAAGTATAGGCCTATTTCTAAATTGCCTTTTCTTTCTAAAATTCTAGAAAAGGTTTTTGCAAACCAGCTAAATAATGTTTTGGATTCTCATAATATCTTTGATAAGTTTCAGTCTGGTTTTCGTAAAAAACATTCAACTGAGACTGCCCTCCTTAGGGTCTCAAAGGATATTTTGATGGCTGCTGATGGAGGTAAATGTTCTGTGCTGGTCCTATTAGATCTCAGTGCAGCATTTGATACTGTGGATCACTGCACTCTGATTGATGTACTGAAAACAGCTGTGGGCATTTCTGGAATAGCTCTGGACTGGTTTTCCTCCTATCTTTCTGACAGGAGTTTTTCTGTGTCCATAGGAACATATATGTCAGAATCTGCTCCTTTGTCCTGTGGTGGTGCTCTATCATCCTCTGACTGCAATGTTTGGGTGTCATTTTTGACAAATCTGTGGTTCATTCCTGTTTCTTCCATCTCAGGAACATTGCTAAGATTAGATCTGTGGTTACTAAAAAAGAGATGGAGATGCTTGTTCATGCTTTTAGTTCTTTTCGTCTGGATTATTGCAATGTAGTGTACACTTTCGTTTAAACAAATCCTCCATGGATAAACTGCAAGTTGTACAGAATGCAGCTGCAAGACTTTTGTCAAAGACCAACAAGAGATCACTCTTTACCCCTGTGCTTAAGGCTATTCATTGGCTTCCAATTGGTTTTAGAGTGCATTTTAACCATTACTTACAGAGCCTTGCATGGTCAAGCTCCCTCTTACATCCTGGATCTATTGCACACACACACTTCTGGTCGCTCTCTGAGGTCTTCAGGCCAAGACCTTTTAACTGTCCCAGAACACGTTTTAAAACAAGAGGTGATTGTGCTTTCTGTGTGGTGGCTCCAAGGCTCTGGAACTCTCTTCCTTTAGCCTTGAGAACCTTGGACTCTGTAGGAAACTTTTAGAAAACACCTTAAGACACATCTTTTTAGACAAGCATTTAACTAGCCATATGGTTTTGTATTTTATGTGTTTTAGTTGTTTTATTTTATTCTATTTTTTACTGTGAGGCACTTTGTGACCCCTCTTGTCTGTTAAAGGTGCTATATAAATAAAGTTTGCTCACTTACTTACTTGAGTATAAGATGAGGACCTTGTCTGTGTCGGCGTTGCGCCACTGTTGTAGGGTAACGTTATGTGAATGGAAACATCCAACATGCTAGCGCACATTAATATGTGAATATTGTATTCAGTTTATATTGTCAGAGTACAAACACAACTCAAAAAGCTATTGTGTATTAAATATGAATGTGTGTATTATAATAAAATGTTTTATTAAATTCATACAGATTTTTTTATGATATGGCAGTGAAATCAGCATTAAATTTCATCCTAGGTGGTATTAAAAAGGTCTTAAAAAGTCTTAAATGTAACTTGGAGAATTCTGTGGGTACCCTGGAGTTACACAGTTCCAGTGATTTAACATAAATGATTGTCTTTAATATATCGTGTTTTGCAGAACTGCCTGTACTGTCATACAGCCGTTGTTAGAGCAACATAATAGTATCATGTTAAAAGTTACTGTGTGATTCCCACCTCTTCTTCTGATTCTTTGCTTAGTTTAGTTTTAGCCAGTTCTCCAGTGTAAAATGTGCCTTGTAGAGGTTTCTGCTAAACAAACAAAATTTATATTTACAATCAGTATTGTTCACAAAAACACTCTGTATATATGCTTGAAGTCTAACAAACCCGGTGAATGCGTTTCTTTCCTCCTAAAAAAACTTGTAAAGCCACTTGTTTTGAGGATTTTGAAACCTGCGTATTAACTTGCTAGCATTCTTCTTCCCTGCCTTTGCTGGAGAAGCAATTAATTTCTTGGCTCATTACCGCATACCTGTAGCTGTGCAGTGAAAAATTGTGAAATTATTGGCAGGATGTTGGGTCACCAATGCTCTTGGGCATGTGCACAAGTACAAACAAAGGGGCGACAAACATGGCTCCATAGCACTACTGATGGTAAAAAAAATAACAATAGAAACTCCATCGGGCGCCTTTTAAGTCCCTGCTATTGGCACCTTCTGTCTTAGCCTGTGGAGGTGTAGACAACCATGTGCCACCTCCTGATACAAATTTTCCTGTCAGGGTAGGAAAATTCTTACCAAAAGAAACACTTCCCAAAAGGGAAGACATCAACTAATAATATAACAAATTATAGAAATGGAAAGTCTTTTTTTTCACCTATTTTTGGTGCAGTTTACCTTTTGGCTCTCTGGTTATTGTACGTCCTGTATTTTGGATACTTTTATTGAAAAAAAAAAACAGAATTTGCACTCAAGAATTAGACACACCATGATTCACACTGTATTAGCAAGAAGCTCTTAAAAGAGTATTTTTAGTTAGTCTCATTTCATACACCCTCCATCAGTTGGTGCATTTAATGTGTATGATGCCTAAATTGGCATGTAGAATATTGGATTGCTGTAGGGAAAATCATTTCAAAATGAAATCTACTTGCTGAGAGGAGTTTGTGGGTGATGCTAATGGAGTTTCCCCTGATATGCCCTGATACTTCAACACGTTTCCCTCCTCGAGTTACACTTAGGTTGATTTGAGTCAAAAATGCAACGCGTTTGGTTAGATTTACTTTAACTTTGATGTCACTACAGACAGTTCACTCGAGAAATGACTAATTTTCACTACAACATGCTTTATAGAGAAGCGCAGACTTAAAAGATGGCAGTGAGTTATTTATTGAATTTCATATTCAAGTCGACAGACTTCAGCAGTGGCACACACTCTAATTTCCCATCTTGAAGGAGTCTGTCCAGCGCATGTGTAGTGTTCTGAGTAAGTGTGCTTCTGATGCTGCATGTCTCTTCACACTGGTATTTCTCAGCACAGCATGCTGCTTCTGTGAGTATGCTGCTCTCCATCTGCCTTTGACTCATTGCATGTTTGTGTGAGCAGAGCAAGAGATGTCGAGTGTCTCTGAATAAACTGATGGGGTCTTTTATATTCGGAGTACCACTTTTTTGGGGGAATTTTTTGGGCAATTTCTGAAAATACCGTAGTATAGTGTTTGCTGAAGAGCTGTACACAGTTGGCCCACGGTTTCAGGAACAACATTTTAACACTGAACAGCAAAGGAGGCTCCTTAACAAATTATGCAGCAACTTAGAAATAAGCTATTCCAGAAGGTTTTACAGTTGGTGTTGTGTGGATGGAGTAAAAACACATTACTTTGAACACAAGTCTTACACAAATGCCATGTAATGGTGACATCCCCTGTTCAAGTTTGACCAAGGACGTGTCAGATATCTCTCTTTTTAAATACCATTTAAAATTAAATGACTACATTCTGTATTTTGGTTTTGGTTAATGTCTTTCCATTTTATTGTGTCTCGGAGTAAATATTTTTTCAGTCCTTGAGACAAAGTAAGAAGTGGGACAGACAAGTACCTCAGCATGCTTCTCAAAGCATGAGCCAATTTAGAAATTGTGCTAATTTAAAAAGGTCTAATGTTTACCTGTTTTCCTTTTTTGTAGAGTCACCTGCACAAGCGACCAAAGACTTCCCCTGCTCAGGTTAGTGTTTTTTTGGTTTCCTTTCACTGCACTTTGTAAATGGAGGTTGATTGATTGATTAGATTTTCTTACTTTATTCTTCAGGCATGCAGTCTGACAGAGCTGGATGAGAAGATCAGTGTAGTGAAAGCGGCACTACTGAAGAGGGTGAATGAATTCGGGCCTGGTTATGGATAAAGAGTGTCCACTGTCAAATACCCACAAACCAATGCTCAAAACACACTGTCTATTAATGCTTTCTAGCATGAGTGGTTTCTTTTCGTATTCCTCAGTTCTTCGTTAGCACCATTTACGCAATTTGCGATTAAAAACACAAACATTTTATTTGACCTTTATTTCAGGGTCATTACAGACAGAAAAACTGTATTCCTCAAAATAGTTTTGTTAATAAATAAGATATTATTGCTTCTTAAATAAAGGTATTTTTCCTTTATGAAATCTTGGACTCATAATTTGATCATGAGCTTCACATGTCAACTGTTAACTTTAATGTGCAATCTGATTACAATCAGTGATTCCTTTATTGACGGGCTGCAACTAATGAGGAGTTTCATTTACAATTAATTTACCATTTTCATACTCGATTAATCACTTGGTCTTTAAAATATCAGCAAATAGTAGAACGTCCCAAACCCCGTGGTGACGCCTTAAAATGTCTTGTTTAGTCTGACCAACAGTTTAGAACCCAAACATATTCATTTTACCATCATTTACCTTTGAAAAGCTGTAGTCTGTGTGTATTTTATTTTATTTTTTTTGCTCAAATGAATAATGAAACTGATTGTTGCTGATTAGTTTTCTGACAATTGATTAATCGTTTCAGCTCTAATAGATAACACAACAATCCTGAATTACACCTTATAAAAAAACAGAAAATGAATGATATTAAATTATCATGAGTGTTAAACATATTCATCTTTAATGTCTGAAAAGGTGCGCGTGTGTACATGTGTGTGTGTGTGTGCGTGTTTCTGTGTGTGTGTAATTGAGATGAATCTCAGAGAGCACCTGATTTATCTGTCTGACTGCTGTGTGACGATGATCACCCCTAATGGTTGTCATTATAACAAATGACCTGATTATTGCAACTCTGTTTGGAAAACATATTAGAGACCCAACAAACCAGCATTAAATGGGATGCCGCTGTGTTTGACACTGTGACATGTTTATAAAAGGCTTTCGTGTAGAGCTTTAATCGAACAATCGGTTGAAGTATTGTGAGTGAACCTGGGGTCCAGTGTTCATTCATGACGTGGGATTTGACATGAGTCTGGGTTTGTTTGTTTTTTTTAAAGCTACTTTAAAAATGTATCTTGAACTGTTGTTAGAGCAACAAATCTTGAGATCAGCTTATTGACAGTTAGCTGGAGCCTGAATGATGTTTTATGGTGAACCCTAAACCTGAACTCATTTTCAGACTTTCTGAGATTTATAATAAGAGTGCTGAGATAAATAGGATTGTAGATGAAAACATGTGGTGTTACTGAGAAATCATTATAATGTGTTGGTGTAATTATCACAGCAAAATTTTCATAATAAAGAGTTACCTTTACTGGTATATGATGACATTTAAAACAAAACAAGGTTTGATATTAGGGATATGATGATACACTCAGCTCACAAGACGAGACACAATATTGGGTTCACAAGAACAAGACGCGATTTTAGAGCAATTTTTTATTAGAAAAATTAATTTCCTGCATTTTGGTGATTTTTTTCTGCACCAATTTCTGCCTTTTCTGCATTAATTTATTGGAAATGTGGAAATGTTATTTAAATAAAGAGAAACTAAATTCAGGTGACAATTGAAAATATAATATAATGCAGTAACGCTCTCAGGCATTCTGCATTGCTTTCAGATATGTTTTAACCTGTAGATCAACTTTTCTCATGTAATATCCCCGCTGAGTCAACACACATGCAGGCATAAATTACATATGGCGTTTTTGAAGAGATTTTAAAACAGTCATTTTCTTAGCAGGCTTGTGATTATCACTTAAATGTCTGCTGCACGTCCTTTATTTCAAAATAAGTGTGCAATTCATCCAGGATCAACAAATTGGTCATCAAACTGAAATTAGCTAGATAAGAACAAACAGGATTATGTTAGCCTGATAGCAGCAGGTTAGCCTGAATTAGCTAACCCTTTATTAGGTTATCTGTTTGCAGTAGTTGAAGAAGGGGGGGGCTGTGGCTCAAGGGGTAGAGTGGGTCATCCAATGATCACAGGGTTGTTGGTTTGATCCCTATCTCCTCCTGAACCCCAAATTGCCTTAGTAAAGTAAAAGTACCAATTCAACAAAGTAAAATACTGTAGCTGTTGAACTTTGTTTTTTTGTGTAAAACGGATTATTGTTACCTCTTGGGCCACATACAGTTGAAATGAAACCATGTCTCTAATGGAACTGTGAACTAGACCACTAAAAGTTGAGTTTTGTGTATTTTACTGGCCCTTTTAGAGACTAGGATTGCAAATTAGCTTAGCCTATTAATGGTGCATTATATCGCATTGGTTTATGCTATATACTTGTCCCTATACAAATAAACATTAAATAAATAAATAATACATGTATAGTAACTATTAACTATAGCTGTCGAATAACTTTTGTCAAAGTAAAAAGTACAATATCTCCCTCTAAAATGTAGAGATAAGAGGTAGCCTAAAGAGGAAATACTCTAGGAAAGTACAAGTACCTCATGATTGTACTTAAAAGTACAGTACTTGAGTGGATTTACTTGCTTACCAAGACTGTCTGTTTGAGCCAAGTGTAGAAGAGAGGAAAATAACTACTTCAAAGATATATTCACATTTTTTAAAACATGAAGCTCTTATAAACTGATTAATTGAAGGGTTCTTTGAAGCAGGTAACTTGACCAGTTCATTGCTGACTGAATGGAAGCAGAGACTCGGGCTGTCTGGATAGAAGTTTAAGGTACTTCAGAATGTATCTTCTTTTGTGCTTCTTCTCATGAAACAAAAAGGCAATAAAGTGTGGCATTTTCAAATACATTTCGCAACTGGTGGGACAAACAAAAAAATTCTTACGTCTTTGGAAATTACTGTAACTCCCCTTCCTTTTTGTTGCAGTTGCTCTTTGTATGTCATGTCAAGATTTATTTCAGAGTTGATTGATGGAGTGACCTGAATATACAATAGAATGACGATGCATTGTGTTTTTCAGAAGATATTTCATTCTCAACGCGGAAATAGGGATTTTCTTTTTCACCCCTCTTTCAGGTGTACCTCGCTTGTTCGGCTCTGTCCCTCTCTTGCTCATAGACTGGAACCCTCTGGGCAACAAGGGGCCACAATGTGCTGGGAAGGGGAGCACTTGAGCTGCAGTGATGTGGATGGACGTGGCGGGGGCGCTCATTGTTCCCCGGGAGCTTTTGTCTCAGACACAGTCCCCTTATGAGGGTTAATGAGGACAAATTGGTCTGAGTGTAACAAATGGATTATGGAGTTGGACAAAAGGTTGTATTTTGTGGGCTGTGTTTGCTGGGATCCACCCATCATCTGCCCATTGAGCCGAGCACGCTGACTAGCGTCTGCATGAAGTGGCTCACTAAATATCTCATTATCTTTATCCTGTCTGTTTTATTACATGAGCGCATTATGCGTGCGGCTTCCTACAGTGAATTTAACTAAAATGTAAAGTATATATCACAACAATGAAGTTTGTAATCAGTGTGATTACCTAGCTTAGTTCCAGCTAATGTCAAGAATATAAAGTCAATATGTCAAAATTAGTGTCAGTGGTTAGTGCTCTACGGTTGGGTGGCCATAGTATACCCTTTCAAATTAACAAAGAACCACTTCCTCATTGACTCTGTGTAATGCCTGCCTGTCAATCAGTCCTCCCTCTGCCTGATTTCTTGTAATGTCCTTGGGAAACTCGGTAAAAAGACACAGAGGTGTTCCTTCTCTTCTATGGGTCCAGTTGTATTTTTTGGTGGGGTCGAAGGAGAGGATTCATATCCATTCATATCTCACAAACTCTTAATGGGCTCCAAGCCCTCAAGAAAGAAAGCTCTTTCCTGTGACTAGTCAGCTCCAGTCTTTATTCATCCATGGCTCGGTGTCAAAAAAGACTGTTGCTCGTTTGTGCCCTGAACAATGAGGAACAAGGCTAAATCTCTAGTTGGGAACAAAAGACAGAAAACAGGCTTTTCACTCTGCAGAACATTAGATTCTGACACATTTTGCCACGGCAGTTTTTCCCCCCATCCTGAGTGCTGTGGCTCTGGTCTTTTAAAGAGACCACCTGTTGGCAACAAGCCTGTTCTTCATTACAGACAGCCCTATTATCACAGGATGAGGAGCACCACAGGCTAACTTTTTTAAGTTAACCCTGCTGCAGTTTCCAAAGCTGGCCGATTGGGAAACATAAATTACGTATTAGCACTGGAAAATCTATTTCTACTCATAATTTTGTATCTTATTTTTGAATAAGGGCTTTTGTGGGTAAGTAGGGAAGTACTTTATTCATGCCCTTGTCAGTTACAGATGTCACAAAAAAGGACTCGAATGTTGACAGCTTCAGTATTCTATAACTACAGATTTGGAGCCAAATTCATATGCATTGTTAGGAGAAAACACAAATGTACTTACTGTAAAGGTGATGGTGGTCCCATGTTTTTCATTCAATTATTTCTGCATCTGGAGGGTTTTTGTTCTTCTTTTGAAAGCAGATTTGAGCAATTTTCAACCCCCAGAACATTAGCATAACCACAGCATGATAATGATTTTCACAACTGTGTGTAAAATAAAAGTACTGTAGGTGGCAATACGAAGCAATCAAGTGCATACTTTGGCTTTGAATTGGACATGATAAACACAGGCTGACAGGAACAAGTGTTTGCTTTATTGTTTATTTTTGGTCCGATTGTGTGGAGATTTTAAAGATAATGTTAAATAATTTATGTGTTTTATAGCTCTGGAAACTCACGGAAACACCACTGAAATTTTAAAACAACATTTTCATGAATAACCTTTGCTGGGAATTTGGTTGTATAAGCACAAAACTTGCACATACTGTAGAGCTTTTTGGATCAAGTGGCCTCAGAACAGCTAGGGAGACTTTTTATTCCCCATAAGATGACATTAAAACAGCAAATACCTTTGTCATGCTCATGCCATCATTGTCAGAGCACACCCTATGCAGTTGCACTTGTTTCTTGTTCACAAACACCCAGAGGTCGGGGGGTGGTGGGGGTACATGCACCTGTGACCCTCCCCCACAAAGCAGACAGCACAAGAGAGGATCCCCCTGCAGTCCACAGGCTTCAACAAGAGGCAGTCAGCTGCTCTCTGTGGCCTTGCTGCACGGTCCCCAGGCTCTCTGGAGTTAAATGTGCCTGTGATATTGCCAGGAGGGAGCAGCGGGAGTTGAATTCAGGCAATTACAATCAAGTCAGGGCATAGTTAGTGCGTGGGC